CACGGACTATTCCTGTCAAGCACCAACTTCTCGCACAAGAAACGACACCGACAATCTCTTCACAGCGCTGGACTCAAATCGACCCCATCGCCATCAGTCACCACTGGCGAGGATCCATTGAAGAATGCTGCTCTTACTGGTCAACATTTGTGGACACAGACTATGCTTTGCTACGAGTGAGATTCTCCCTTCGCCTAGTAAACAATTGCAGAAAGGTCACCAAAAACGGATTTCCACACTTCAGAGTCAGCACTGGTTGCAAATCTGCTTTTGAAGTGGAACTATCTGATCGCCCTTCAGCTCAACTATCAGTCGAAGGATTCAATGACCGGTGACGACAATCAAAGAAGCGATCAGAATGTGAATCAAAACAACGGCCGATTCTGGCACACGATTAAATCAAAAGGATGGATCTCCCCGACCTCGGTTGCCCTGCTGAACTATCGCAAAATCATTCTGTCTGATGCAAAATGCGACAAGGCGAGCAGATCCCTTAAACAGCGACTCATCAACAATCCGAGAAATAACCGTGAGAAGTGGTGGGTACAAAGGTGTGGAGAGATGGAGAAAGCTGTGGCTATAGGTAATAGTCGCAATCATTNCAATCATTGGCGTTTAATTAGGAATACGAGTCAAAGGAAAGTAGGCTTGAGGTAATTAAGGAGTCCGACGGCACATTGATCCAATCTCAGGAACGCCGTTCTGAATGTTTGGCCCCTTCGACGCATGATGTCCCTATAAATACCTCAACTGTGCAAATNTGCAAATACTGCCAGTTGACATCAGACCTTCATATCAAATAGAGGTTAGGCAGGAGGTAAACTATCTCAAAAGGTATAAAGCTTCCGGCCCCGACGGGCTGTCCCCATGAGTTTTTAAGGATGGAAGTCTAGTCTTGGTTTTGGAGTCAGCAAAACTCCTGGGCTTCGTGTGTAAGATGGAAGAAGTTCCAACTGAATGGTATGAATCGGTGATCATACCGATATACAAGAAGGGCGACAGATCCTCTTGTGTAAATCATAGAGGAATTAGTTTGATTAAAATTGCCTCTAAACTTCTCGCCGGTATCATACTCCGTCGATAGTCTGTGAAGAGTGCACACGTGAGAACCAGGCTGGTTTTAGACCAGGTCGAGGTTTGATAGGCCCAGTCCAATCGGTGGCGTGTTACGGTAGAAGCGCCAATCACTTTGTGGGGCTCCCTATAGAACTCCATTGGTTGGATTCACTGGAAGTTGCAACGGATTCACTTGACTTTGAAAAGATACAGAGTAGATACACAACATGGATATACTCTGCAACTCCTCCAAACGCCCTGTGTAAGTTAGCGTTGTCCATCACAATGTGGAGTGGTCTTTTCTTCATCAAAATGAAAAGGCTTACTACAAGACTGGCAGGAGGATACGCCCATACTTACGCTCTAGTCGAAAACTGTTAAGTACCACCTACCATGGGAGTTGTTTCAACTCAAACCGAGTGAAATTTCAATGCATATCCGGACGGCCTGAGTAGCGTCTGCCGCACTACGCCACTTGTCGTGCCCACACGCTCTTTCCTTGAAAGGCTGAATATACCATACTATCGTACGAGCAGTCCTACCCAACGTCCGCGAGATTTTGCCTATTCATACAGGAGGCGTACGGAGATTGTTTTTGATCACCATTATCTTTGCTGCATCGCCAGTGAAACGGTGACAGAACAACGATGAGGTTCGTTAAACAATATTCGTTTCATCGATCTCTGAATGCCACTATCTCGCTTCAAAGGCCTTGACACCTGTGATGTGCTACGGATGCCGAACCAACGATCACCGCCAGGGAGTTACGTTTGCTCAAATCGACACTAACTGGAAGCGGCGATAAAGTGGACAAATGACTTTGTTTGATAAATGAATGCGTTAACTTAAAGATTGGCAGTTGTAGGAAGCTAAGGGCTCCCAGGTTTGAATCTAAAGGACATCAAACATCTATGGCTCCAGAACAAGCCGAAATTTTTTATTACACACTCTTGTGTGATGAACAGTAGATGGTACTCGCGAAGACCTGCAGGTCAGTGATGGAAATCGGTAACCTAAGTCCCGAGTTTTAACAGCCTTGAAAAACTAGTGAATAGATAATAAACTGCACTGAAATCAGCTATTTAGTAAGCTTCATTGAAATTGGTCGGTGCCGTGAGTTTCAGTGTGCATTTTTACCAAAACCAGAGACCTGAACAAGCTATAAACTAAGCCGGAATTTACGCACAGGAAGTTTCCTCGATCGCTATTTTAATGTTTAAATAGAATAAAAAACGAGGAAACTTCCTTTGCGTGAATTTTAGTCGACTCAATAATTGTTCACTGACTTAAGCGCTGTATCTGAATTTGTTTTGATGACGTCTTCGGCCTCTTTTTCCTCAAAAAAAAATCGTGACGCCCAGATGTTCAAGATGTACTGGGCTGTTATTCGCAAGAATTTGTTGATTACATTTTCACACACGTCTCAATCCAGACTGTGCCAAACAAATCATGATAAAATAACCTTTAGCAAAAGAAACGTTTCATGATTTACTTCCATGATTATACTTCGACGTCTGACGCCTTTAAGACAGACCAACATCCGTGAACAGCAAGCCAGATTCCGGCCTGGTCGTGGATGTATTGATCAGATTTTTATGTCGTATCAGATCCTTGAGCTGCGTCATACTCACCGTCGGCCAACGATCGCAGTCTTCCTTGACCTGAAAGGAGCCTTCGACTCGGTTGACCGCGAAGCTCTGATGGGCTGCCTTCTTCGAAAAGGAATGCCCCAGAATTACGC